GGAGAAGCAGAGAAGCAGGCTTCCCATTGAGCAAGGAGCCCAACACCTGTCTCGATCCCAGGACCCTGGCTTAATCCCACAACCCTGGGATCATGACCTGAGCCAAAGACAGATGCTTCACCAGCTTAACCAGCCAGTCACCACCACCCTTCCCCTCCACCTCCCATTTACCTAAACTTTGATTTGGTAATATCTTAAGGAGAGCACACAGGACAAAGGAGCACCAAGTAAACAGTTTGGTGTTTACTTGGTGCTGGGGAGGCACTTACCTGGGGAGGGCCTCAAAGGCTCAGCCAAGGCCCCACCGTGCACGGATGACCATATCTACTTATATCTAAGAGTTCATGGTGCCCGGGGTTACACAATAAACAAGGAGTTTGAAGACCTTGATTCAATTCAAGTCTCAGCTCTGCCATGTGCTAATTGGTGTTGTCTTTGACAACTCAGGTTTCTTATCTAAAGAGTCTCATTATTCACATCTATTTAATGGGAATAATAACATACACACTTGTTGCCCTTCTGGGATTATTACAAGGCTTCATGAGATGTGTGTGAAAGCACATTGCAAACTGCACTGTCCTGTGACATAACAGAGTATAATTCTGTAAAGGGGCTACCCCACATCTCCCTGTGTCTTCTATCACGTCTCTCATCCTTTGCTTTGAGATTTTGGGGGTCCCTTTGTCAAACCTGTCTCCATAACCCTTTAAACAGAGCTTTTGAGTAATAGTATGGGAAGAACAAATTAAGGTCTTCTTTATTAAAATTATACTAATCTTTGGGGCTCCTGGGCGGCCCAGTGGGCTTTGGGGCACCTGGGTGACTCAGTGGGTTAAAGCCTCTGCCTTTGGCTCGGGTCATGATCTCAGGGTCCTGGGATCGAGCCCCTTGTCAGGCTCTCTGCTCAGCAGGGAGCCTGCTTCCCTTCCTCTCTCTCTGCTGCCTTTCTGCCTACTTGGGATCTCTGTCTGTCAAATGAATAAATAAAATCTTTAAAAAAATTATACTAATCTTTGAGAAAAGTAAGATTACCTAGCAGAACATTTTATTAAGCACTTTCCAGCACTATTTTATTTTATTTTAGCAACAATCTTAAATGTTTAAGAACCATATAAATATTAGGTAAGAGAGAAATCTGAAGATTACCCTCTATGTAAGCCTGGGTCATGAAAATAGTCCATGCCATCCCCAAACAATGTCTCAGTGAAAATCAGGTTATCTTAGAGAATACTGGAAACTATAATTAAGAATATGTATAGTTCAACAAAAGAAAAGTGTTAGCCCCCACCTAAGTACATGGCTTCGCTCTTCACTGTCTGTGTGGCCTTGGGCCAATAAACTTACTATCTCTGCACAGTGTTACTGGTTTTGTTTTTTAAAAAAATGAGGTCAGGGTGCCTGGGTGCCCCAGTGGGTTAAGGCTCTGCTTTCAGCTCAGGTCATGATCTCAGAGTCCTAGGATCGAGCCCCACATCGGGCTCTCTGCTCCTCAGGGAGCCTGCTTTCCCGCCTCTCTGCCTGCCTCTCTGCCTACTTGTGAATCTCTCTCTCTGTCAAATAAATAAATAAAATCTTTTTTAAAATGAGGTCAAAAATGTCTGTCCAGTGGATGATTTAGGGTTATTGATTACAGTATTTGTTTTACTTTGTTTGTGTCTTTTGGTTTCGTGAGACAGGGACCACACACGTAACCCAAACAAAGAGGTTCTGTTCTAAAGACAGGTGTGGAGTAGCAAAAGAATTCGTGAATCAGGGGGCAGGAGGCACACCGGGCCTGGGCCGTCCCAAGTATGGAGACTGGACCTTCTCACTCTTGGGAACCTGGCACCGAAATCTGGGAAGCCCACCCTTGGTCAGCCTGTTGGGTTGCTTCTGTTGCTCTTCCAAGTCTTTTCCCTTTAATTTCCCTACATACTGGCTTTTTCACTTCTGCCTTCCCAGAGCGCAGGTCAATGGGGCCCTCTAGCTCAGTTTTATCTTTTGATGTCCTTCCTGATGAAAAGTGGTTTTTATTGATATGTGTTTCCTAATTTAGAGTTTTGGAGAGAACACTCATAAGAAGCAATGGATTCCTGCTTAGGTTAGGAATGGCCGCTCCTCCAACCTTGGGCCCCCACTGTTGCAATCTGCTGTCGAGAGATAAGTGATAAACATGGCCCCTAGGACACGCCACTTTAGCCAGGGCCGTGGGTGAGGTTCCCATGAAGAGATGCTGTATGTAAGCGTTCAAGTTCTAGACTTTGCTTGCATTCAGATCCTGAGTTTGACCGTTTCGAAAGGTGAGACCGTCAGCAAATTACTTCATCTTGCTCAGTCTCTGTTTTCTTGTCTGAACAATGGGTGTGATAGTTCGTACCTCGTAGGAGTATTGTTGAGTCTTAAATAATGAAAGTAAACTACTTAGCACAGTTCTTGCCATAAACTGAACCCTCAGTAAAGGCTCGCTATATCCATCTCAGGAGCAGGTGCGTGGACGGGCACCTTGCACTAGGTCTGGTACAGCATGTAAAGGTACTCCATTAATAAATGTTCACCACTCTTTGTGTGGGCATGAATACTGGCCCATCCCCTGTCCCCTGGAATATACCCACTTCCTGTTTCTTTCCTGAGGACAGGCGGCGTTCTCCACAACCCCAGCAGAATTGCTGCTTGCCTCACTGTGGAAATGGAATGCTACGGGCTTTTTCTAAAGTCGGTCTTACTTGGCCTTTCTCACTGGATTTGAGCAGCTGGCTCTCAGCTTACAGTGTGCCCATGTCATGCTGCATGGGGGTCCAAGGCAGCCCTACTGAACAGCATAACAAGCGTCTAGGATGCGACCTCCAGGGGGCTAGCAGGTTTACAGAACTGTCAATTTCTTCTGGCATCGTCCATCAGGGTGTTGGGAAATCGTAAGTTTTCACATAAAGGAAAACACTGGGTTAAAATATGCAGGAAAGAGATGGAGTGCTTGATCTGGGACATAGAAATTCCTTTTATTGTTATGCGGTGATGCTTTCTTTATTTGGTTGGATTGGAAAATGGGCTGTTTCACCCAAGTGAAGCTTATGGGTATAGCCAAGTTTTCCTATCACAGTTCTGAAACTGTTTTTAACTCTTGTTCGGTGGGAGTCTTCCTAAAACGTACCATGTACTTCTGCCTTCTCAAGAGAAGATACACATCTGAGTGCTAGCGTTTATTGGACACTTACTGTGTACCCGGCATCTTGCTTAGGTGTTTACCTGTCACTCATTTTCCCAACACCCCTGTGAGACAGGTATGACCATAGCCTCCACTTCACCGACCAGGAAACGGAGGCTTGCAGAGGCTAAGGAACTGGTCCGAGGTGACACGGGTGAAAGTGGTGGAACCAGGACTGGTGCCCAGGCCGCTCCAGGCTCTTAAGAACCTGACTGTGCTACTGGAGAAGAGTTTGGTTGATCAATGACCCTAGGAACTGTTAACCATCAAAGCGTAGGATCTCTGGAAGTCTACATGCACATCTCGCAAATGTGTCCATTCCTCCGAGCATCCCTTCACTCCTTTTTGAAAGGCCACTCACACCGGCGGTACCTCTGTTTGAGTACTCATGAGTACACTCCTTCACCTGGCAGATGCTGCTTGGTACCCGCTATGCCGCTGTGGGTCTGGTGCATGCCAGGTGCTCAGGAAACAGAGGGACACGAGGCAGGTGGCTGCCTTTGAGGAGGACACGCATTAGCGATACTTCAGCTGGGGCAGGAAAAATTCAGGCTGGGGCAGCCTGATATGTGGCCAGGAAAACTTTGAGAAGGTGGCTGCCCTTGAACCCACCTTTCAAGGATGTCATCCTCCTCATCGTTACCCACTCTCTGTGGGGGACACTGATGACCAGGAGATCTAGGTAGAGTTTGATGTTTCCTTGGCTCCAAGGCAGCTGAGGAAGGAATGGGCAAGCTGTGTTTCAAAAGTGGTTCGAGTCATCTTGCTTGGAAAAGAAGGACCCTGGGCCAGACCGAGGAGTTTTCACGCCTGTTTCCTATAACCCGAGTCTTCTTAGAATGGTGGCTTATGAAAACAGTTAGTATACTAACTCTATATACTCATTAGAGTATCTGGTGAAAAAAATGTGTTTTCTCATTTGAATAGTAAATGAGTGTTCAATGCAGTTTCTAAGACTAGCTCTTAAAAAGAAAACAGTTTGGAACATTGATATTATTAAAATTGAGTATATGATTTTCCAAGGGGATGACTTAATATATTTTATCTTATTTTTTTTTTTGGCTTAATATATTTTAATGATAACTAATGTATTTCAAAAGTAATATGTTAACAGAAAAGACCTGGTCCCTTTTCTCATCCAGAGAGAACTAAGATTTTTGAAACAAACCCTCCAGTATCAGTCTGTTTGACCTCACTTCCAGTTACAGTCCCCCAGTTGGATGTAACATAGTCCCTTGATGGCGGCTACTTGCCATTATGGGTGCTGTGGATGGCACAGTGCTGGTGTGAGTTTGTGTGCTGACTGATATGTGAGGTTGTTTAGAGACCTTTTGAATCTGTCCTTTTTCTCTCTCTCTTCTCGTGGACTGGCTGATGGCCATGGTGTCTGGCTGCTTTCCATGTGTCTTCTTATGACTCCTTCCTAGTATATTCTTTCCCCACGAGGAAATGCTAGCATGGCTAATGACAAGGTTAGCCAACACGTGTTGTTAGGAGTTAGGAGTAAGCAGGCTCTGCGAGAGCACAAAGGGGCTGTCTTGTACATCGGAGGGCAACGTCTGCAATGGCTATTCTAACTGCCAGGAAAGCATCCCTTGTCTGTAGAGATAATTGTTTTTGCTTTATTCATGACTTCCAGTCAGATGACTTACTATTAGGCATATTTTTCAAGAAGTAAAAAAAAAATAAATAAAAAGAAAAGAGAGAGGACTGGGGGAAGGGAGAGAGGTCCAAGAAGGGGACGGAAGAAAAGTCAAGCCAAGTGCATTCTCTTGGATTCCATTCTGAACGTCTCTCTTTTTACATTTGCCATTCACAGTGGTTTAAACTTCATTGACTTGATGGTGCGACAGGGGAACATCGACAACCCTCCCAAGACCCCCCTGGTGCCAGGATTCGAGTGTTCTGGGATTGTTGAAGCTCTAGGGGACAGCGTGAAAGGATATGAGGTAATGTGCTGACTAATGATGGAAAAAAGTCATATCCATTTGGAATCTGTTGGCATATAAAAGATGATGAGAAAAAAGTCTGAGAGAATCTATGGTGTGTGTTATTATTATATCTCACTGGTAGGTTTTACTAACATGTTTATAAATGATAGGATTTTCCACATGCCTCATGCCTTTCTCGAGTACTGTCTTGGTTGGTCTGGGGGACAGCCTGCTGAAGTGGCCAGGGAAAAATTTGTCTTCCCCTTAATTCATGCAATACAGCTGTTAACAAGAATATCTGGCCTTGGATTAACTAGGCTTGCATAACCCCTCACCCTCTCCATGGCTCCCATTTTCCCACCGCCTCAGGCTCAAAAACCAACTACAAAACATAGAAGTTGGGCAGAAACATCCTCTGTATTTCATAATTTGGTTCCTTTCAGTATCTGCTTAACTGATGCATTTAAGTAATCACTTATAAATGATTCCTTTTTTTTTTTTTTTTAAGATCTTATTTCCTTATTTGACAGAGAGAGAGAGAGATCACAAGTAGGCAGAGTGGCAGGCAGAGGGAGGAGAAGCAGGCTTTCCGCTAAGCAGGGAGCCCGTTGTGGGGCTCAATCCCAAAGGCAGACGCTTAACTGACTGAACCACCCAGGTGCCCCTTATCAATGATTCTTTTGGACACTGGGAAAGTGACATTTTTGAATGATGATTTTTAAAGGCACAGGGTAGAGATACTTGCCAATGAAACAGAACTGGCCAGGGGTTGATGGCTTTGGGAACAGGGCAGTGGATAAAAAGCGTTATTATATTTTTCTATTTTGTACGTGTTTGAAATTCTCCATAATAAAAAATTTTTTATCGATGAAAAGATATATGACCCTTCCTACCACTGTAATGCAAATCAAATAGAATCCGGTCGCTAAAAACCGAAAAACTGTGGGCAAATCAATCGCACAAAATTGCAGCAGTTTGGAGTGAGAAAAACCAATGCCAATCAGGTCCAAGAGCTCTCGCTCATAACTTAAGTGCTTCCCCAGGGAGAAATGAACAGAGCTAACATTTGAGAGTCCACCATAACCAGAAACACGGGCAAGTCATCCTTCTTCAGCCTCACCACAATGCTGAGAGGTAAAGACTGCTATTATCCCCTTGGAGATGAAGTTCAGAAGGGTACAGGTGTTTCCGATGAGGCCAGAGAGGTAATGGGACATGGATTCAAGTCACCAGATCTTCACGCCTGTTCCCAACCTGCAAATGCTGCAGAGCTAAATGCAGAAAGGAAAATCCTATAGAGGCAACGCCAAAATGCCCTTGGCCTTGAATTGGAGCCTGCGGCTCAGGCTCAGTGCATCTGAGCCTCAGTACACTCTGAAAATATCAATATGTTCCAAATTCCCTGGGATGAATGTCTGAAAAATCTCATCCCACACATCAATCTTTTTGTCACTGGTTTCCAGATAATACAGCAGAAAAGTGTTAAGAAAGACGTAAACGCACTTCCACCTTCCTTTCATATGACTTTGCATTTTCTGTCCCCAGGTTAGCAACAGACCCAGAGGCAGCGCCATCTCTCCCAGCAGTGCTGTGTATGAGGAACAGTATCTGTTCTTCAGTCCTCCACCTAGTCCCGAAGAAGATCACACTCCTCATGCTATTAATCCTGAGCCTTGCACAAATACTCCATTATTTTAGAATATAACAGTAGACAGTGATGTCATTGGCCTCGGTTTCGAAGGAGGTCATACAGTGCTTGATTATATATTTTTCCTTTATATGTGATCCCTCTTGCGCTGCTTAGGCCTGGCTTACTTCCTGTCAGTCCTCTCCTTCACCCCCAGTCTGGGTGCAACTTAGGGGAAAACCGATACTAATATTCTGCCTAAAATTTTGACTTGAGATTTTCTTTTTTTTTTTTTTAAGATTTTATTTATTTGACAGAGAGAGATCACAAGTAGGCAGAGAGGCAGGCAGAGAGAGAGGCAGAGAGAGAGGGGGAAGCAGGCTCCCTATGAGCAGAGAGCCCGATGCGGGACTCGATCCCAGAACCCTGAGATCATGACCTGAGCTGAAGGCAGAGGCTTAACCCACTGAGCCACCCAGGCGCCCCGACTTGAGATTTTCACCACGACGTCAGAGATGGACTATCACAGGGCAGCACAGTAATTAGCTGTGGTCTGATGCATTGCAGGGGAGGCTTACGAAGTTGTCTCCAGAGGCACAGCCATAAAGGAAAAACTGGGGCTCCGTCACCCAGCACCGATTTCTTTTTATTAACAAAATCAAACAAGGAGGTGAATTCGATATTTAAAAAAAAAATAATAAGCTGCCTGCGTCTGGACTCAGACTAGATCCGATTGTGATGGCTAAACCACTCTTGGCATTTTTATAAGGAAGCGATGGTGCAAAGTTGAAGGAGAGCCCTGGAGCGGTCAGCCCTGCTGGGATGGCTGTGACCGTCACTGTCGAGGGGGCTGAACTACTCTTCACTGCCCTCTGTGTTGACACTGGGGCCATCAGCTACCCCGCGGTACTATGTGTCTTTGGGTTTGCACGATGCTGTGCAGAAGAGGATGCCAGTGTTAGAACTTGGCTATCCTCCGGTCCAAGCGGGGACCAGATTGGACATTTAAGATGATAATTCCCAACATTCAGCCGCTGGTCTTCAGCCCCTCTAGGGATTGGGACACTCACTGCTACGGGGACAGCCTCTCCTTTACATCGGTTCCTTCATTAGACAGCTGTGCATTCTGCTTTGTGAGACACAGTGGGTCTGTGTTTAGTGTGTGATCATTGACCTGTGAGTTCCATGAGACCAGAAACCAGTCTGTTACAGAAATCAGTAACACTGACTGTTCTTTCTTCACCTTGCATGCATCACTGTCAAGTATACTGTATGTATATTATGTTACTTACTTTCCCTAAGGACCCCTTCCTAATACATGGAAGAAACGTAAAGAGTTACACTAATATTCCCAGAGGTGGTCGGTCCACCTGGCGTGCACCCTGGAGACTCTGTCTTCTTTGTAGCGCTTGCCCCAGGTGTGATGGATTAATCATTTGTATCCGGAGTCCCCCTTGCGAGACTCAAATCCTGTCTCAGCTACTCCCTAGCTACATGACCTTGGGCGTGTGCCTTCATCTCTCTTGGCCTCCATTTCAATGTCTGTAAAATCTATAACTGTTCATCTGTAATGTGAGCTCTTACGGACCCATCTCAAAGGAGGCTTCTGTCGTCATTTGTCGAGTAGGGAAGGAAGGGGAAGAAGAGAAATGCTAAGCTATAGAGAAAACAGGAGACTCCGTTATAAATACATAAAACTAAAGCACACGTATATAAAAGCCATTCATTTACTGAAACTTCACTCTGACCACAGCGATTTGAATGTTGTGTTTGAAAGTCACAGTCCAAGCAACTAACATCAAAGGGCAGAGTGGTTCAACTTCACCAGCGCTCCACAGCTCCTACAAGCTGCTCCCATTGGTTCACTCATTTCTGTTTCCCTTTAATGACGATATGCTATGAAAACACTTAGCAATCCATCATAACTACTTTAAAGAATGCTTTTTTCTTTTTTTTTCCCATGATGTCTGGCCATGTAAACAACTGATAAAAAGAACACAGTACTCAGCCATGCCTTCATAGGGGTTTTGTAAAGATGAGATGAGTTAAAACATGCGATGCCCTTAGGACAATGCCTAATGTATAATACGTGTCCAAAAAAGGGCTAGTTGTTTGTCACACCCCATGGCACCCTCCTGTTTTGCTCTAAGTAAGTCTGGTTGTTCTCGTTCAGTCTTCTGCACTTCGATTTACACACGCCTCTGATGTACCCCATCTCACGTCTACTGTGATCTGTAATCCGGTGCCAACCTTTGATACAAATGCCCCAATAAACTAGCCTGGCAGGGAATCCCTATGGAGTGGCAGAAAACAAATGAGAGTAGATTTTACTCTCAGTTCTGCCTGTTTAAATTTCCTTATGGCTTAGTTCTCCTCGACTCCAAAACAGAGATGAGATGCAAGGCTGAGTTGGTAAAATGAGCTTCCGACACTAACATGCTACGGGTGTGATGTGATGACATTGTACATTTATGCATGGGAAGGGGGGTAGAGAACCTGGCTTCCATGGCCTCCAGCAAGTTTTCATAGATGAGCTTCAGAGCATCCACGAATGCCTTGGAATTGGGAGGCAAGTGAGAGTGAGCGTATTTGAGGGTTTGGTTTTCTTTTGTTTTTTTCTGGGAAGGAATCTATAGTTTCCATTAGGTTCTTAAAGGGATTTGAGAAGTCTTGGGGTGCCTGGGTGGCTTAGTTGGTTAAGCGTCTGCCTTTGGGTGAGATCATGAGCCCAGGGTCCTGGGATCGAGCCCCACATCAGGCTCCCTGCTCAGTGGGTAGCCTGTTTCTCCCTCTTCCACTCCCCCAGCTTGTGCTCTCTCTCTCTCTCTCTCTCTCTCTCTCTCTCTCTCCCTCTCTGCATCAAATAAATAAAATCTTAAAAAAAAAAAAAAAGGAGGATTTGAGAATCTTTCAAAAAAGAGTAAGAAGCTTCCATTAACCTTGTGCCTCCCCATTCCCAGATCGGAGACCGTGTCATGGCATTTGTCAATTACAATGCCTGGGCAGAGGTGGTCTGCACGCCGGTGGAATTTGTCTACAAGATCCCAGACGACATGAGCTTCTCGGAGGCTGCTGCATTCCCCATGAACTTCGTCACAGCCTACATGATGCTGTTTGAAGTTGCCAACCTTCGAGAAGGAATGTCCGTGCTTGTGCACTCGGCTGGCGGCGGCGTGGTAAGTCAGTTGGTTGTGCCTCAAAATCATAAGGGTGAAGTGGACTGAGAGCCAGCTGGCAATGAGATTCCTATGTGAGCTATGTCCGTTAGTGGCTGTGATCTCTGTGGTTCTGGATGAAGCTCACGTACGTGGCAGAGCTCATACAGATGACTGTGTTGGGGGTAGGATGAGCGTCTGGAGTCTGAGAGGTCTCCAAGATGGCATGTTAGGACTCAGTGGGTCTCGGAGATGGTTTCAGTATTGGTCTCACAATGGACTGTTACGCTGATCATTATGCGATGCCTCATGAGTCATGCACTACTACTATTATCTGGAGCACCAAAATGGTGGATGACCTACTTCTTCGATAAATCACCATGGATTCTAGGTTGTTCCCATCATCATGACGTCCCTATTCCTTTGTGTTCTGATATCTTTTCTTGAGTGGGAGAGGTGAGTGGAGGTTGTATTAGCACACTGGGAATGACACATAAACCTAAAATGCCTGGGAGAGTGGTAGAACATGCTAGTATCACCCATCAGGCGTGTCTTTGATAAGGGGAGAGGAGAAATAACGGAAATACAAAAGTGCTGCCTTGCAGATCAGGGGTGGTGGAAATTTCTTCTGTGGTTTGGATACATCTCAGTGCCAGTCAGTCCGTCCCTACTGCACACCTGCCGCACAGCAAGGACTGTGTTCCCATCACAGTCTACTGGGGTCCACGTAGAACTTTAGTCTTTCTGAACGTGAGAGATATGATTTGTTCATCCAACATGTATTTACTGAATACACACTATGTTCTGGATTCTGTGGGTTAGAGATTAAAAAGATAAGTTCCTAATACAGCCTTTAGTAGGGTTTGCTCTCGGTATTGGTGGTTCCATGGTTTGATGAGCTCAGAAATGAACTCGTATGCTTGGGTCTATCTCAAAGATGTTTTCATTGGAGGTTCTGCCAAGATTCATTTTTTTTCTTATCTTGGCTTTCTACGGCTATCGAAACCCTACCTGGTATAAAGGATGTTTCTGTTTTCCTTTCCAAGAAGGCAAACTCACACACGAAAATGTGAAGGCAAAGACATGAAACTTTAGGAATGCCTTATGAGGAATATATTCCATCGCATTAGCAAATGTGCTGATGTCTTCTGACCATGAGTAAAGATATAATAAAAGCTAAACATGCTTAGAAAAGAAATGGATTTCAGTGCCAGTGAATCTACTAGCAGCAGGCAAGCCACTTAGAATGCTGGCATTTATGGTCTCCATGTGCTCAGCATACCAAGTGCCGGAGACTTGTTTTCGTGTTGTCAACACAAACTCCAGTCTCTACAGTGGTGCTGTACCCAGTTTTGCTGGGGACCAGTGTTTAAAACATTGGCACTGATGAGGTTTCCTTTTGTATGTTCATCTTTTTTTCATTTTGAGTTTGTTCCTGGAACCAAGAGGGGCATGTGTCTCACTCTTGGGGGATAACAAAAGTTTTCAGCATACCTTATTCTGGGCTTCTGGACACTAAAACAGTAAGATCCAAAATGTCAGACAGATTAGGCAAACGGGAAAGGACCAATGAGATTGGAAGACAAGTAGGTGCCCATAATGCAGACTCTGACGTCCTAAAGCTTTGCTGCAGATCCTTCCTTCCTAACCAGCCACACGAGCTAGTGTTCATTTGAGGGAAACAAACCAATTAGTGGGGGAACCATAGCTAGTCCTGTGTTAGGAGACTGGAAGTAGCTCTCTGTGGTTTCTCATAGGAAATATATGTGGACATGCAGTAAACCACCCTCCCCAAGGCTGTTAAAATAAATGCAACTATTTCCGTGATGCTTGTTCTTATGGTGTGCCCTGAATGTCAGCTAATAGCACAAAGTAAAGCAACATTTAGTGAGAGCAGATACCCAGGGCCAAAGGGATGCGGTCTGTTTTAACCTATGGAGAGTTTAAAGATGTCATTGGACGGCCCAGCTCTCAAGTGAGTGGGTCTCCTCGAATGATGTTTCTCCCAACCGAGGTCTGACTGGTGGTGTGCAGCACTGAGTTCAAGGTGGCCATTAGAGGACTTTCGGCCAACTGCACGTCCATGTATGTGAATACTGAACCAAGCTGGGTGGAGCTGATGCTCTCTTACAAAAACCAAGGAGTCCCAGGGAGAGCCCAGACCATTCCATTGCCCCACAGTGGAAAGAGCAGTGAGTCACCCCCAGAGCTAGATTCCTCCCAAGGAACAAGCATATGCAGCTGTCATGGTGGGGGGGCGGGGCTCCCTAGGGAGTGCTTTTTTAGGCACTACCTGGGATAACCTAGGAAGAATGGAGGCGCTTCCCATCACTGTTGAACAAATCTGGTAAGTGCAGCCTCTGCCCGTGATTGCCGTGCTAGCAGGATTATGACCTCCCACTGACACCCACGTCCTCATCCCTGGCTCCAGTAAGTATTTTCTCTTGCATGGCAAAACAATTTTGCAGATGTGATTAAGGTAAAGACCTCCAGATGGACAGATGAGCCTGGAAGATCCAGGGGTGCCCAAGGTCATCGCAAGGGTCTTTAAAGATGGAAAAGGAAGGTAGAAGAGTCGGAAAGAGATTTAAAGATGTTGCACTGCTGGCTTTGCTGATGGAGGAAGAGACCACAAGCCAAGGCATGCGGGCGGCGTGCAGGTGCTGGGAAAGACAGGAAAATGGGCTCTCCTCCTGCAGCTTCCTTAAGGGACACGGCCCCACTAACACTCTGAGTTTAGCTTAGTGAAAACCATTTTGGACCTGTGATCTCCAGGACAAAATACAACTGTTTTCTTTTGTTTTGTTTTTGGAGCCACTGTTCGTGGTGATACGTGGGAAGCTCTCACTGCAGCCTCAAGGGGAAATGAGTGCAGCCACATTCCCTGGGCCGCCTCCCTTCTCACTGCAGAGGGCCCACAGGTGCCTGAAAAAGATACAAGTAGCAGGAAGCAGAACTGGGATTCACACCCAACTCTGGCTAATTCCAAAACCTGTTCTCTCCATTCAACAACCCGGTCATGTCCCTGAGCTCATGACCTGAGCCAAAATCAAGAGTTGAAGACTTAAGCCACTGCGCCACCTAGGTGCCACTATCCTAATTAGGTCTAATCAGTCATCTTGGGGTTGATAAGGGCCTTGCGACCAGGAATTTGCTGCCCATCCCATTTAACAAGCTGGTAGGGCCCGGACTGTCTTGGTTGGGATGTGCTTGGTTTCTGCAGGGTGGCATTGCTGTCACTCACGGTCCGTTGTGTCTGAGTCTGACATTTGATGCTTTCCAGTTTGGGGCATTCTTTTACCTTTTCATCATGTCATCTGAACAGAGAGGCGCAGCCTGTGGCGGGCCACAGATCTTGGAAAGGAAAGCAGAGCTCAGCTTCCAGACAGACTTAAATGGCTACTACTCAATTATTCAGTTGTACTCATTAGGGATGGGGCACTTCCCTCTGCCACTGAAATCACTGGGAGGGAGCAACCACAGATGGGAGAGCCCGGGTCTTCGGAGGGGGCACCCGAGGCTCCCCCACCGCAAATGGTCCTCTCTGAATGGCCGACTCACCATACGTCATGTTAACATTACACTGGTAGAGCCTGGGGGGAGTCGGGGTCCTCCATGTGCTGGAGGATTTGGACCTGTCGGATAGTCATTCCGTTTTATCAGAAAGGACACAACCATCTGCAGAATCACTATGTGAGAATATTTTGTTGAAAACAAAATCATCATTGATCACGGAAGGCCCCAGCCTCAACCTAGCCAGCAATGCAGGAGCCGTGGGGAGCCCTTCTGCATGGGACAATTTTCCATATCTTATGATTCAGTCCTTCGTTCATTTGCTCATTCTGCACAGAGGTACAAGGGCCTGCCCAGTTCCAGATTAGGCACCAGGCATTCAACAGAGAAAAAAAACAGACTTTCTCCTTCCAGCAAGAAGCCCTATAAATCAAAAGTGGGCAAAGAACTACAGAATCACAAGAATAACTTTGCCAAGTGCCGCGAAAGGGAGATCCGAGCCCATACAGTGCTTCTAAGAGGGAAATGACCTGGGGTAGAGGCGGGGGAGAGGGGAGGCAGCGGGGGGCGGGAGAGGCTTTCACAAGGAAGTGGCCTTTGCACTGTGATCTCAGGATGACACGCAGGCACCCTGGACAAGAGTGGAGGCGGAGGTGGAGATGGAGGGTAGGGCATTCATGAGAAATAGAGGCAGGGGTAGGTATAAAGAATTCCAGACAACAGGGCATTTCTTATACCCACCCGCCTCTCCCTGCCCCTCCTCCTGGTTTTCTCATGGCCCCCGCCTCTCTCTCTGCCACTTCCCTGCAGCCCCCATTTGATTGCCTTTCCAAGCAGTCTCCCCTCTCAGGGCAGCTCCGTACTTGCAGCCAGCACACCGATCTGCTCCTGTCGCCCCCTGCTTATACCCCCCAGAGACTCCCACTGTTGGTAGGTTCAAGTTCAGTCTCCTGGAACTTGTCTTTCTCTCTGGCCACCTGCCCCCAACCCTCTTCTTTCAGCAACACCGAAGGACTCACAGCTCCCACAGGTGTGTGGCCGAGCTGGCTGTCCAGCCACATTCAGCGTTTTCAAGCCGCCTTCCCCCACCCCTGGCCCTGTGTCCAGCTGGGGCACACACCTGAGCTCAAGCCAATGGGACATGGCAGAGGTCACGTGATGCCCACCACTTGCAGGCCGGCCCTTCCTGTGAGACCCTCCGTGCTCTCTGCCCTCCCGTTTCCCAGCAGATGCCAAAGCTGACCCGGGAGCTTATGCCTCCCACTGCTAGGACCCTCAGTGACTGCAGTGACTGCCTTTTCATGCCGTGTCCTGTCCCTGCCCCACGGCCATTTAGACTTTATGCGAGCAGGGGGAGAAAAGAAACTCCTGTTGTCTTAATTCCGGAGATTCCAGGGATCACCTGTTATAGCAGCTAACGTGGCGTTCCCGTTGCCCCCCACACAGAGCATCTGGCTCTCCTGCATCCCTGGGCCGCGCCCACCTCCTCCCTCTGCTGTCCCTGGGGT